AACTAACGGTAATAAAAACAACAATAATAATAACAACAATGACAACAATAATAACAGCAATAATAATAATTATTACAATGTAGTACCAGTAAATGACTTGTGGCCGAGTTGACTTGTGGCCGAGTTGATTTGTGGCCGAGATGACTTGTGGCCGAGTTGACTGTAGCCAAATTTTTTGTGGCCGAGTTGGATCGAATTCTAGGCTACACCTTCGGCGGTGTTTCTACACTCTACATCCTCCAGCTTACTCAGTAAAAAAGACGAAAGGCCCGTTTTTGTGTAGTTGCCAGGCAGGTCAAGATACCTGCCTAGTAGGGTAGGCCGGTTATTCTACAAAAAGTACAATGAGACTATTTTCTATAAGCGTTGGCTTAGCTAGATCGGCCTTGGTTAGGCTTCTTAATCATAATAGCCATTAATAATTTCAGGAGACTCTGATGTAAGTTATGATGACTTCTCAATATCAGCCGCCGCGAAAGGTCAACTGCTCGGAATCTGTATGAAATGCCATATAGGCATTATTCTACAAGAGCTATTGTCGTAGTGGCTTCATGCTTTGGTAGTCCTATTTTAAGCCGGCGCTACCTTGTAGAATTTTGTCGTAGTGGTTTCATGCTTTGGTAGTCCTATTTTAAGCCGGCGCTACCTTGTGGAATTTTTTCTGGTCCAGGAAGCTGTTATTTTTTTCTTTTCTTTTCCTAATTGCGAAGTTATTCCATAACCTGGTCCAATGACAATAAATGCATCGTCACTAGAAACACGTCTAGTGGTAACAACAAGTCTTGTGACATCAGCAGTGGACATTAATCCACTACAACAACAAGAATCATGTCTGTGAATAAGACCTTTTAAATAGCAGGAGCAGATTCATAAACACAGCGGTACACAAGCACACTGCACATTGCAAGAAATGCATTGAAACAATTGCATACATTAAACCTTGATTAAACGATTTGGCTCGCTGCTGGCGTTTTTTTGTTTTTGTTTTTGTTTTTTTTTTTTTCTCATTGGCAATGGCCTTCGCTCAAAGATATTTACTTTAATATTTGTTAAAATATTTCAGGTTCTACAAAATTTTGCTAGGTCTGAACTAGCAATACAAGGCGGCTGTACCAGAAGATTCTTTGCAACATCCTCTTATAAAAGCAATTGCTATGAATTAAGGACCTATGCTGTTTTGCCAAATGCATTTCCTGACTTTGTAAAGCTTACCAATGAGATGCTGCATCTTCGCCTTGCTCATTCAAAACTCATTGGGTATTGGTTGGCTGATCTTGGTGCCTTGAATCAGGCAGTTCATATCTGGGAATACGGTGAGTACTGTTCAATGTAATATACATTCAATAGGCTAGATACAGAAGCTGATTTTATTAACATGACTGAAAATCTTAATCTGAATAAAAATTAAACTGCACAATCATTCATGTTTAACAAAACTGCTAATTCACTCCAATCTCCAAGGCCATTTTAGAGAGTTTTCAATAGATTGTAAAAAAAAAAAAATAATTTTGATTAGGCCTATCAATAGATTTGATTATTGGTGGAAACATAAAGCAGTTATGCTTTCTAAAAATAACTTGACCTAGATTGAAATATTGAGTGGTCTAATTATACCCCCAAAACACAACACATTTGTATTTCATTTGCTGTTGTTCATTTTTACTGATTTTCCTTGAGGCAGACTGCCATGATCTTTTTTTTTTTGTGGACAAAGACTTGACTTAACTTGACTTTATTTGGCCTCAAAAAGCAACATGAAAAATCAATTCAAAAGAAAAAAGTTAAAAGCACCAGGTTAAAACATTAAAAAGGTGAAAACACAAGCAAACAGGTCATCATTAAAAAAAAAGAAAAAATCAAGAGAAAGAAAGAAGACAGAATGACAAGGGACGAAAAGATGCCAGGAACGCCCATAAAGTCCTAAGACTTAATTCCAATGGTGTCCTTAAAAAGTAAGAGACGAGAAACACACAAGACAAAAAACACTTAATTATATAAAAGAGATGAAGAAATAAATTTAAAGCACTAAAAACGTTATCTTTAAGACAGCAGTAGTGGTGTAAGAATTTGCCCGGGAAGGAGGTCAGTGGGCCGATGTTCCCAACTAGAAGGCCAATTTTTCCAATGATAGCCTTCTGAAATGGTCTAGGGGAAGCCCGTTCTTCCGGGAATCTGACAATTTAGGGTTTGTAAGTTCACTGACTGGCGGTGATATAAAGTGTATATTGAAAATTATGCCGCATGCAACACGTCAGCCTTAAAGCATGTACCAGTCTTATGAAATCGGTCCAACACATTCTACATCAGTAATGTACAGTACATTGTAATTTCCTACAACAAAAATTGTCTGCAATCTTCAAATGCATTTTTAAATTGTTACTGTAGATAGTTACACTCATCGCAAGGAAGTACGGGCTAATTTAGCTGCTGATCAGACCTGGTTGAGTACTTACCTAATGAAGATGTTAAAAATGTTGGCATGGCAGGACAATGCAACTATGAACCAAGTGCCTTGGTGCTCTATAGAATCACAACCATTTAAAGAAGCAGGTAGGAAACGCATGATTCTCTCCCATTAAGCATTATACCAAATGTCATCATTGTTTAATATCATAATTTATTATCAAGTTGTAAGCCTTCATATAGTTTGTGAAATAAAATTAGTAATAAACAATATTGACTTCTTTCAGGTGTTTATGAACTGAAAGAAATGTTAATGAAGCCAGGTGGACCCCAGGTGTGGGGTGATGCTATGAAACGGTCAGTATTAACACAAGCCGAAGCACATAGTAAACACAAGTATGGCAAGCTTATGGGAGCTTGGAGTGGAGACTTTGGCCAAAGCTCTTCATGTAAGTTGTGATCCTAGTAGGGAAGTGAATGGATGGGGTAGGTGGGTGGGTACATGCATGTTACTTGGTACGAAATGTATCTATAAAATATTTAATTTTACTTCATTTTTCTGGTGATGTGTTTTTAAGCCCGCAATTGATTGTCTTTATGGCATTTATGTTTGAATTTATGTTGTCTACCTGATACGTTCCTACTAGTATCACATCGTCTCTTTTCTTTGTTATAATGGCTTCTTTGCTGATTGAATTTTTGTTTAGAAGTAGATATTCATGGCTCATAATATAAATGCATTTCTTTTATCCATAGTTTATCAATTGTGGAACTATGAAAGTCTTGATCATCGCCTGAAGCAGAAAGCAGAAATTGAAAGCCTACCTGAAGTCAGAGAAACAGGTGCTCAAATATCATTAAATATACCGCAGCAACATCCCGGTTGGGGCACCTATTATTTTACACTTGCAGATTCCTCTTTAACATTAAAAATGTATTTTTATATATTTATAGCATTATATAGATTAAAAGGCAAAATACTGAAAAACAACAATGCTGTGGGAAACAATGGCTGGATCTCAGTAGAGATACAAAAATGATAAGCAACAGCTAAAAAGTAGACGTAAGTAAACAGCCAGAAATAGAACCAGAGCTTTCGGACAACACTAGTCCTTCCTCAGTGGCGAGTGAGTGAGGGTAGAAAAAGCTAGATAGTATAAAGTGAGAATTTTGTAAACAATAGGCTGGGTGAGATTAGAATAAACAGCCTAAACAAGTAAACAGGAAGGCCAGAACTAAACTTTAGAGGCAAGCCTCAATAAATAAGCCAAATGATATAGCATTATATATATATATGTGTATATATATATATATATACATATATATATATATTTGCATTATATGGCCGTTTGCTGTTTTATGGGTTTTTCTCATTTGTCTTCCAAACGTATATATTATTTAAGAATCTCTATTGAGATCCAGCACCGCCATTGATGCACGGTAGAGATTGCATAGACTTTAGATCTCTGATCTTGTTCACAAATTCACGGACTAGTGCTGTCTTGTAAGAATTTTGTAGGACGCGTTAAGAATGACAAAATATTCTCTGTATCTACTGGAACCAAACCGCATAGCTTATATTCCACTATTTGCATTCACACCTGGGATGTGTGTATATATTGCCTTGGTTTGGTTCTGTAATCATTAATGGTCGTGGGACTAGTTTGGGCCCTACCTAAGCTGGTCGAACGTTTCATTTGGGTCTGTACCCTAGCTGCACTGATGAGGCCTGGAAGGCCGAAACGGATCCATCTGCAGATATTGGGATTCCTTCCAGTGGATGCTTTCGTTTTAATTTTAAATTGTTTTGCATTATATAGCCGTTTGCTGTTTTATGGGTTTTTCCCATTTGCCTTCCAAACTTTACCTTTTGGGTAATTTCTAATTAATATTGCATGGAATATTTGTATTTATTAAATATTCCATTAGATTTTTTTAAAACTAATAATGACTTTATATTGACAACTTGTAAGTCACATGATTAAATACGCCATTTTTGAGCTGTAGCATTACAATATGGGGCAAAGACAAGCCAAACCAGTCACTCCTCGCAAATCGTGTTTCAGAGAAAATGGCCAAAACATGCTGAAATGTCAAATTTTTAAAAATCAATTTTATTGCACTAAACTAACATTTATATATCTACACATCTTTTTAAGGATTTAAAGATAGTTTTTTATAAAATAGATTTTTAAAAATTTGACATTTCAGAATGTTTTGGCCATTTTCTCTGAAACACGATTTGCGACGAGTGACTGGTTTGGCTTGTCTTTGCCACATATGCAAATTCTGTATCAAATCTAATTTAGGATGTTCTATTTTCATATGTTTAGAACTAAATACTTTTTATTTACATATTTTTTTTTTTATATTAAAGGTGCAGCAGTTGAGAGGTTTATGACAGAGCATGTAACGTCAAAAGCACTTCTTCCAATGCCGTTTTCTCCTTTAAAGTGAACATCTTAATAAAGATATACTGCCAGCCAAGATGACAGTGAGCCTTATAATTTCATAACTAAACTTTAAGTAGGTCATTAAAATTATTCACATATGTTATACATTCAAGAAAACCAGATCGGGTGAGAAATCAGTACCTGTTTCGTCATCTTTCGTAAGTTGTTTACGTCACGTAAATACAGTAGCCCATCTATTCTGTACCGCAGTGCTTATGTCTAAGAAAAATCGCGGCAGGCCGTAAAAGAACCAGTCATTAAGTTCAAAACAGCAATAAATAGCATGTTTTAGAAATCGATCAGGTAAAAATAAAGATACACCTCGGTACAAGCCATTGTATAAGCTCAGCCTAATCATACTGGGCTAGCCTAGCCCTACAGTCATAGGCTAGACCTAGGTTCAGGTTTAGTTTAGTTAGCTAGGGCCTACCCTCTCTCTCTCTCTCGAATCCGGGTCGGATCAATATGGCTCTTCTTCCGCAATGCCATAGTGCATTAAGTTTAGGGCTAAGCCAGCTCCACCAATCAATACTTTGAATTTACGTAAGTACGCAACTCAATATGCATGCATCCTCCTATTTTATTCAGGAGAAACATTTCTCATGCCAAAATAGGCTAAGCTTACTGTATATATGCTGTATTTGCATGTACAAGAGGGTAACCCTATCAATACAACAGGCCCGAATCCAGTAGGGGAGAGGGAGCGCACATGGAAGGGGGGTGGGGGGAATATGTCCCGTTTTGCCACAATTTTTTAAATTTCAGTGCAATGTTATGTGCTACTCGCTTATTTATTTTAAAACTGTTCTGCCCACCCCCCTCCCCCACCCCCTTTGATAAATTCTTGATCAAACTGCACAACAATTCCACACAAGGACTATTCAGCAGAGACACTCAAAACATTAAAGACAAAGACATCCTTTAGAAAATAAATGACATGGTAACCATAACATCGATTGCATCCTCTTAAATATAATTCTTTTAGAATAGATACTCTGAAAGTGTTTTAAATATGAAATACATAATAATAATCAAACGTTTGTAATCATATTCAAAATAGAATCAGATACGTTTTAAAGTGAACTTGAGGGATCAGTAATAAACAGACTGGAAAATTCTTAATTATTAACTTTCTAAACTTAATTTTTGAAAAACACCTTTTTTTTTTTTTTTTTGATAGAAATCAATAATAGCCTATTCCATTGTATATTGTCAGCCAAAGATGTGTGATGTAATCAGTTCAGTATAGTTTCGTTTGTTCTTATTTTGACAGTATTATCTTTAGATTGTTATTATGTAATTTAATATAGAAATTTCAAAAATGTAGATTACAAAGAGAAGTGTGTCTTCACACAATACGATAGCGACATCCATGGCGTAAATAAATGACTATTTTCAAACTTGACTGAATTTCAGAAAATGTTTTTGTTAGGTGTATTTGAGACGAATTAGACTAATATTTTTCTCGTTTTCTTGACATAATAGTTATCACAGTCATCGAACTTGGTAACAGTTATTTATTAATTTTATTTTTTTTTTCAAATACAATACTTATTTAATGTCAATGGCCGTATTCGACTGGTCGTTTATCGGTAAACCACACCCACCTGCGCAGTAGTAAAATCCAGTCGAATGGAAAACTGGTAAATACTCGACAAAACAAAATGGCGGCATAGTTACCGCGATACACGCTGTGTAATCAAGGTTTCTTCGGCTTGTGGCAGCATGGGTTTATTTTCGTGAAAAATTTCCATCCACTTTTTGAATTCTGTTAACCTACAATTATTTTTTTTGACTTCATGTGGGTAAATATTATAATTTTTATTTTCTGAAATTTAATCTAAATTATATTAATGCAAATGTTGTTGCTAAACTAACTAATCGGCCACGTTTGTTTTGGTCATATGGATAACTTAACACTGATTAACGCACTATGGTTTACGTTAATTTTTGTTGTCAACGAAGTCTATTTTACAAACCAGTCAAATAAAAATAATACTCAACGAAAAATTGTAGTCAACGGAATGAACCAGTCAAATAAGCCCAATGTTTCTATAGTTGACAAGTTCTATTTTTATATTTAAAAAAAAAACCCAAAATATTTTTGGATTTCAACTACAATGTAAATGCAAATCATGTCCACAAAATTTACAATTTTAAATTTATCATTTATTGTATTTATAGTAACAATTGGTGTTTATCTATTGTTACTATGTGCATTCTGGATATCATTATTTAAGAATGTGTTATTTTAAAAAATAGGAAATATATATTTGCATTCAGTCTTTTGATTAGTTTTTAATAATTTATTTTTGTAAGACACTGGCTTCTATGACGAGCTTCATTATAACGGAGTCGGAGTGGAATCAGTTAGGCAAATGAAACTTCTGGGCATAACAATTCAGGAAAACTTAAAATGCGATGTCCATATCAACGGAACAGTAAGGCCAATAGAACATTGCATATGTTGTCAGTTTTAAAAGAAAATTGGAGCACGTGTGTCTCAAATCATTTATACGCCCTATCATCGAAGTGGCACTCCTCCCTTACTTCCGGACTGAGGCTGTCCAGGAAAAAGTTTTAAGAATTGTTCTGGGGCGGCAGTACTTCTCTTATACTGCCGCTCAGCTTGAGCAGTTTTCTCTGGAGAGACCCTGTGACCGCCGTTTATATCTCGTCCGGAAGTTTGGGGGACAGTCCGTAGAAATATGGATGATATTCTTTCCATGACCCGTTCTGAAGCAACTTAAAAAAAACTAAGAAACGCTAGCAAACTATCAGTGTCGTATGGAAAGATTTAAAAAATCAACATTACCCTTTTTAATTAAAAATGACTTTTGTATGACGAATTTGTATATTTTAATAAACTGTAGTTTTAATAATAATTATGTATATAATATATATATATATATGTATATATATGTTATATGTATGTCCTTGTATTTGGTTTTTAATGTATTTCTTAAGATTGATTTTGTAAATTGACTCAATTTAGTTTTGTACTGCAATGTCCCAAAAAAAAAAACAGAATGAATGAATAAATGAATCTTACTAATATAACTCAAATCATGAATATTATAGATCCAAACGATCGACGGGATATACTGTAATAAACAACACGAGTTTGAAAGCAAGAAGGTTTAATCAATATGTTTATGCTGTATCACACTGCAGTCATCTTCAGTAACTAAAAGAACTTAAAACTTAGGAGGAACTCAACATTACCCTTTTAAATTAAAACTGATTTGGTGTAAACAAATAAAAAATTATATATTGTGACAATTATTTATATTTTCTCACGAATTTGTATATTTTAATAAATTATAGTTTTGTTAATAATTATATATACACACACACGCACACCTTTGTGTGCGTGTGTGTGGGTGGGTGGGTAGGTGTGTGTGTGTGTGTATGTATGTCCGTAACACATGAATTTACTACTGCAAGCTACTAAATGTTAATTTAAATTAAAACAATTTTAAATAAGGGGAAATAAGATTTTGACGTTCAAAATTTTGGAAGATTAGCCTTGCATTTTACTCCGTTTATAGGCAACCAACTAGATGCAGTATCAAGACCATAAAAAGCAGAAAAATTAGGAATTCCGACAATGAAGCAGGGGGTCGTCTTATACGTGAGTATATACGGTGTCTTGAGGACAAGCGTTGCGCATAGTCATAAGGAAAACTTGAGAATTGCTGGATAAACAAGGCCTGTTTGGAACCGTCCATTTTCAATCGCGGAATAATTTCTTCATAATGATTAACCGTGAGTTATCAGTAAAAATTTCTCTGGGTATAGTTATGCTCAAAGAAATGAAGGAATAAATAAAAGTGGGACGACCCCACAAAAGAGAAAAAAAAAATTTAACTGGGTATGCTGATTTAGCCTTACTTTTTTTCTTTTTCTTTTTTTAATTGAGGAATACCCAGCCAAATTTTTTCTATAAAAAAAAAAACGTGTTTCATAAGAAATTTGCATAAATTCAATTAATAATTAATGTTTTTTTTTATCAATCACCGTTCAGAAAATATGGCACTTAATATTCCAATCGTCGCGCATTATGCACGGTACTGAACGCGCTCTATCCACTAGCCAACCAGGGACCTCCCTGAGCTGGTGCTACTTGCACGCACAAGAGGCATACACCAAGATCCTGCAGTTCGCTTGCCTTGAAAGCGGTGCCTCACGATGTGCGATTATACAAGTACTGTTCCCCATGGGAACATTGTGGAACTGCCTGCGGTTCGACACTTCGGTATTTATTGTTGTTGAATAAAATAAATATACTTTAGCAGGCCCGTAGCCAGGCTCTTCCAAGGAGGGGGGGGGGGGGGTGGGTTGAGGGGGGGGGGGGGTGGATTCTGGGCGTGAGGTCCACAGTCAGTGCCCCGGTGGGGTTGGCGAAACTCCCAAAGCAAGAGGAATTTTGTGCTTTACAGGTCTAAATAATGCTATAAGCAGATGTGTTTGAAAATATCTGTGTCTGGGTAGGTCTGCAGTGCATTAGTTGGATTGGAGGACTTATTTGGGAAATTTAAAGAGGGGGTTTCACCAGAAAAGAGGGGGATTTTGCTAGAAAAGGGGGTTCTCCCGAACCATAAACCGCCTCCCCCCCCCCCCCGCATACGGGCCTGCTTATGTAGGCCTACTTATTTTTAGTTCAATTGCTTTTTTCCTAAGCGTGGCGGTCATTTCGTTTTCCCGCCTAAGCGTGGCGGGACCGCCACGCTTAAGTGTAGCTAGCGAGATCCTTGGTATTGATAGTATAAGAAACAGCATTTAATCAGGACGCAGTGCTCCGGAACGCCACCGTCAATGGGGTGTGCGAAGCACAACTCGGAGTGAGAAGTGGAACGTGAAATTTCGAGGTTCCCGGAACGCCGCCCTCAGCGGCGTGTGCGAGGCGCAACTCGGAGTCAGAAGTGGAACGTGAAATTTATATGGTTTTTATAGTCAGATTTGCGAGAAAAACTTTAGCTACCCGTATTTCTCGACTGAGACGTCAGTGGGAGCTGTAATTTGTATGGCAAGGAGATAGTGCTACACGCATTCATGCATTACATATAGTTTCATCTTGCTGTACTCCAACATCACTAGCGCATGGTAACAACCAACTGACTGCAGACAATTTCCGGTCGCACATTACTCTCGATAACGCAGCACCCCTAGTTCCGTCACCTCTGGTTATTTGAGTAGTGTGATAATATGACGTGTTGTAGCATGCGTACAAAAATTTACTGATTCTAAATTAGCGTTTAGAAATCACGTTTTACGTTCGGCATTAAGACAGTTTTTCGATGTATTGTTTTAACAGTGGTAATTTCTGACGAACATTTCGTTCATATTCAAAATGAATAAGAAGTAATAGGCATAGATGACGTATAGCAAGAAAATATAACATTCTGTTAGCCAATAACACCTCATCGTAACACCCAAGATCTTGGGTATTTTGACTTGGTCTTGGGTTCTTGGGTATTCCGTTCAAATCCTTGGGTATTTTATTTTTACTAAGAAAATTAAATATTTTTGTCATAGAGGAAGAATTA